GTGGTCTGTCTGGATCTGGTCAAGAGATAGGCCTAGCAATCAACACCTGTAATACACTTGTTCACTGCTTGAGTCTGGTCCAATCCCAATGTCTACCTACTTGTATTTGCATTGTAGCAGACATGAACACTCTCACTCACTCTCTACACAAATCTTGACACAGGCTGTACTATGTATGTGTTTCAGATTATTTTCCTTAATTATTGTAGATAATAATGTATTGTACAAATATTTTAATATAATTGATTTTTGTTATTTTAATAATGAATGGATGTAAGAGGAAATTATTATTATTAAGAAATAATAACTATGTATAGTCTCTGTAAAACATTACAAACATGTATTACCCTTTCAAAACTTGGTAATCCTTACAATACATTTCAAAAAAGGGAGGTCCAATATTATGCATTTTATATGTTTAAAAGGGGTATTACCCTTATGTACTTTTATTACATTAATAAACCTTACAGTACCTTATACAAAGTTATACTACTTTATCAGAAATTGAGGTCCAATAATATGTAAATTACTTTTTTACTTTTTTCACACTATTATAATGTAATATAACCTTTTAGACTTTTTCCCAATGCTATATATACTATGTAGGTATGTCTCAGATGTAGGATGTATGATGGAATGTATTCCATCATTGCTCGTCATTGCTTGTAATGTAGTTTATATCATCTGAGACATACTCTCGTGTAGTCTTGTCTTAACATAAGTGCCATTCCAAACTCCCCATTCTAACAGTCAAAGTCTGTCTAAACACTCCCAGTGTATTATTTAATTCCATACAACCACATAGCTCTTATATTTGAGCCTTTCACTGGTCTTCACAAAGTATACAGTAAAGACGAGTACTGCTTGCTAATACAGGTAGATCATGTGAACTGATACTATATAAGGTAGGCGCACCATATGAGGCAGGAGGTAAAAAAAGTGATGCAATTCGGACCGCTGTCATCATTTTCCGGAAACGCTGTAGGATTGCCGACCCCCACTTTATGGCCAGAACTTGACTCATTCCCCACTCTCAATCGGCAAGAAGACGCCTCGACATGTCAAGCCCTTCCCCAGATCCATATTTTGTCAGATTTCAGTGGAAGACATACTCTGATGCGGCACTCGCAAGACTTGTTCTGGACAAATGCTTTCCCATCAGTTTATTCGAAGAGGTTTTGAGCGTTGTTCTAGATCCAGGCTTTAAGCCACATGACGTTACGTTCAAGCATGCACACTGTATCTTTGATCAAGTCGCAGCTTTTGGAAGGAATTTGGCAGTGGAGCACGATGTGTCTGCGCCTTCGGACTCTGATTCTGTACGTGCACAGACAGATGGCCATAGTACTGTAGAGAACTCTGCAAAAGCTGCACTTACTGTGCCGCAGCCGTCGAATTCTGGATCCCTTGAAGGTGCTTCACCTGTTTTCGTTAGTGCAGATGCATCTGGACAAACAACAAGTCATGACTCTGCACTTGACCAATCCGACGATCAGACGGGTGCGTTTGCTGCTAGGAACACACTAACAGGTATGCTCCCTTAATCACTCTCTAGCTTTTCTTTAACTCTCCTTGCAAATAGATCCTACAACAAATGCACATGACAGAAGTATCTCACCTGTGGTTATGGGCTTTGCCGATTCTCTGTCTTCTGTCTTTTCCGAAAAAGACGCGAATGCTCCAAGTACCAAACAATGCAATAACACAATATCTCCTTATTGCGAAACGTCATTTGAGGTATGTTATTTTAACCTTAACCATTCTCACACGCTTGCCTTTCTCAATTACTCTCCTTTAGGGGGTCCGTCGTCAAGATTATGCGCAGGGACGCGAGCCGACAGGCGGTGTTGGGCAGACGAAAGCATTTGGGTTAGCACCTTCGCCTTCATCCAATGCAGCCTGCGATCAGACCGTCGCAAGGTTTGGCGGCCTCTTCCCTCCCAAAAATCAACAGTCATTCGGAAATATATATGAAGGTACATTACTTCTATTGCGCTACTGATCTCGTCCTCCTTTTCTATGCATGCTACTGGATTTGCACTGATGTCCGCTTTCCCTACGCCAGGTCAAACTACGACCGCCGGCTGTGGCAGTGTTCCACCAGCGACTACTGGTACAATGCCTTCTTATCGCGGAACGTCGCGTGAGGTCTGGCATTTCGCTCTTCAATCTCACATATGTGCCTGACTCGATAGATCTACTTAGGAGCTTCGTTTTCAAGATTATACGCAAGGACGCAAGCCGACGAGTGATATTTCTCAATCGAAAACATCCCAATTAGCACCTTCGCAGTCGACATTTGCGCCTTTCGGTAAGATTACTGCGAATGCGAAAACCTCCAGAGCCTTTGGTTGGAATGGTCAGCGGACTTCAACACAGTCATCTACAACTTTCGGTCCCCTCGGACATCCTCTTCCGAATCATGGACTAGTACAGGGTACGGGTACGGGTACGGGTACGGGAGACGTTGTTTCAGTGTCCGTTGAACAAGGCGCACCACAGCAGCAGACCAAGAACACAGATCTTCCTGGTAGAAGCGATGGACGTGTACCTCTATTCTCAAATAGTAAGCTACATCTTTCTTTGTGAACACATAGTAAATGAACCTCGTTCAAAGGAGAGAATCTTAAGAAGGCTATATCTGAACAGCTTGAGATACAATTAAGACGGCTTATGACACAGCCGCCGACTTCGGCCAGTCTAGGCCAATTTGGTCAGAATGACCAGCCGCAACAACAAGATCAACTTCAAAATCGCACCCCAAATCAGCAACAGTAGTGTCTCGTGTTATGTATTCGTTTTCAGGCGGGATCGATCATTAACTATTCGAATCGACTATGGAACGTCTGTTGGGACTTGCGCATTTGGAGGGTGATTGTTGTTTGAACAAAGTAAACACTGTCATGTACTTTTAATGAATGTCATATTTGCTGCAACCGACTGGGTTTCCATTTACTCTTCAATTAATCTGCATCAGTGTCTTGTACATAACATGCTAATATATAAACTATCGCTGATATCTACTTGTTGCTCTGAGGCTCTGTATGTGTTGTTGTTAAAAAAGGTCCGAGTTTGACGTTGGTGTGAGAAAAAGACATGTGGCTCAACTATTTCCCTGATCACACCATTCCGCCGCTAGAGACCCATCGAGGTTTTTTTCTTCAGGTACTAGTCCAAGCTCAACTCACTTACTAAGTTACTCAGCATTACCGAGTAAGGTGCTTACGTAGGAAATTCACGTGCAGAATCCGATCGTTTGCAAGGTCGTTTCCAAACCAGCAGTCGTTCATCCACTAACCTCACGACGCCAACAGGCGAAGGTGGTAATCCGAGTCTTTGGGATATACACGCCGAGGTCGAGTTTACTCTAACTAATATTGACCAACGTCGAGGAAAAGAAGCTGTTCAGCTATATGTTTCCTTCCTGAGTAATATTCACGTCGGCGACATCGATGGAACGGCTCAACCCGGGGCTTATAACGACTTCCCAGTGAAAGTTCTCCGAGGTTTCGAAAAAATTGAGCTTGCACCAGGAGAAAGCATGCAAGTCAAGTTCGAGGTTACAAGGAAGGATCTGAGCTACTGGTCTGTGGAGCATCAGAACTGGGTTATGCCAACGAGAGGGACGTTCAAATTAAGTGTGGGAAGTAGCTCAAGGAACCTACCCCTGACTGGCCTGTTGTAAGGCTCAGTGCTTTAATTTCTCGGTTCGATTTATCATGTAGAGATATGTAATACAACAAAATATTAACGAAGCAAGTCAATTCACGCCATTTTATTCTAGCACCACAATACGAGCCAAACTAGTATAAATAAAGCCAAACCATTGACAATATATCAATCGCCCTTTGTGACCCTTTCCCACTCTCAATCAGCAATAAGACGCGTCGACATGACAAGTCCTTCCCCAGATGCAACTTTTGTCAAATTTCAGTGGAAGACATACTCTGACGCAGCACTCGCAAGACTCGTTCTGGACAAAGGCTTTCCCATCAACTTATTCGAAGAAGTTTTGAGCGTTGTTGTAGATCCAGGCTTTAAGCCACATGACGTTACGTTCAAGCATGCACACTGTATCTTTGATCAAGTCGCAGCTTTTGGAAAGAATTTGGCAGTGAAGCACGGCATGTCTGCGCCTTCGGACTCTGTTTCTGTACGCGTACAAACAGATGGCCATAGTAATGCAGAGAACTCTGAAAAATCTGCGTTTACTGCGCCGCAGCCGTCGAATTCTGGATCCTTTGAAGGCACTCCACCTGTTTTCGTTGGTGCAGGTGCATCTGGACAAACAACAGGTCTAAACTCTGCACTTGACCAATCCGACGATCAGACGGGTGCGTTTGCTGCTAGGAACACACTAACAGGTATGTTCCCTTAATCACTCTCTAGCTTTTCTTTAACTCTCCTTGCAAATAGATCCAACAACAAATGCACATGACAAAAGTGTCTCACCTGTGGTTATGGGCTCTGCCAATCCTCTGTCTTCTGTCTTTTCCGGAAAAGACGCGAATGCTCCAAGCGCCAAACAAAGCAGTAACACAATATCTCCATATTGCGAAACGTCGTTTAAGGTTTGTTATTTTAACCTTTACCATTCTCACACGCGTACCTTTCTCAATGAGTCTACTGTAGGAGGCCCGTCGGCAAGACTATACGCAGGGGCGCGAACCGACAGGCGGTGTTGGGCAGACGAAAGCATTTGGGTTAGCACCTTCGCCTTCAACAAATGCAGCCTCCGATCAGTCCGCCGCAAGGTTTGGCGGTCTCTTCCTTCCGAAAAATCAACAGCTGTTTGGAAATATATATCAAGGTACGTTACTTCTATTGCGCTACTGATCTCGTTCTCCTTTTCTATGCATGCTACTGGAATTTGCACTGATGCACGCATTTCCTGCGCCAGGTCAAACTACGACCGCGAGCTATGGCAGTGTTCCACCAGTGACTACTGGCTCTTCCAATCCTCCCTACTCTGTCTTTTCTGAGAAAGACGTGAATGAACCGAAGTGCACTCTGCACTATCAAAGCATTAGTATAATGCCTTCTTATCACGGAACGTCGTTTGAGGTCTGCTGTTTCACTCTTCAATCTCACATATGTGCCTAACTCAATAGATCTACTTAGGAGCTTCGTCTTCAGGATTATACACAAGGTCGCAAGCCGACGAAGGGTATTTCTCAATCGAAAACATTCCAATTAGCACCTTCGCAGTCGACTTTTGCGCCTTTCGGCAAGATCACTGCAAGTGCGAATACTCCCGGAGTCCTTAGTCAGAATGGTCAACGGACATCATCAAAGCCATCTACATCTTTCGGTCTCTTCGGACGTCCTGTTGCGAACCATGGACCAGCACAGGCTACGGGTACGGGAGTCGTTGTTTCAGGGCTCTTTGGACAAAACGCACAACAGCAACAGACCAAGAACACAGGGCCTACTAACAGAAGCGGTGGACGTGGTCAGAGAAATCAGTCGAATTCTTTCGACAAACCTAGCCTACAGTCTGGCCTAGTCACTCCTGGAACTGGTAGCTCGCTTGGGGAAGATGTGAATCAACCTGTGCAACAGTCTTGTTGTGATCCACTCAATTGGTCTACTGACAGAAACCAGTGCGGATCTCTATTCTGCTCTAATAGTAAGCTGCATCTTTCTTCGTGAACATATAGTAAATGAACCTCTTTCAAAGGAGAAAATCTTTTGAAGGCTATGTTTGAACAGCTTGCAATACAGCCGACTTCGGCCAAGCTCGGTCAATTTGGTCAGAATAACCAGCTGCAACAACAGGATCATCTTCAAAATCGTACTCCAAATCAGCAACAATAGTGTCTCGTGTTATGTATTCACTGCCAGGGTGGATGGATCATTAACTTGGCAAACCGACGTATGGAACGTCTGTTGGGATTTGTGCATTTGAAGGGCGGTTGTTGTTTGAACAAAAGTTAACAATGTCATGTACTTTAATGAATGTCATATTTGCTGCAATCGGCCGGGTTGGAATTTGCTCTTTAATGTGTCTGCATCAGTGTCTTGTACATAACATGCTAAGGTACAAGTTATTGCTGATATCCACTTGTTGCTCTGAGGCTCTGCATGTGTTGTTAAAAAAGGTCCGAGTTTGATGTTGGTGTGAGAAAAAGATATGTATGCTCAACGCATGCAAACATTTCCCTGACCGCTCCCATTCCATATTATCATTTCGACCTCTTGCTCTGTCTTCAGGTACTGGCTCAAGCTCAAGCCCAAAAACGCCTAAGCATACCGTATAGGGTGCTTACGTAGGAGATAAATTCACGTGCGGAATCGGATCATTTGCAAGGTCATTTCCAAACCAGCAGTCGTTCATCCACCAACTTCACAACACCAACATGAACTTTTCTCGTCCTATCCATCTTTAGATATCTATTTTACTAGCGTATATCGTCATGAGATTTGAGGAGCTAATTGTTAAGGCGGTCGTTCCCTCGATTAGCGCAACGTCGTCGCCGTCTCGTGTCTAAGGCTCTGAGCCACGTCCGTGAGGCTTCCTCACGCAATGCAGCGCAGAATTACTGGTTGATTGACACAGGTCCGACACTTGGCATACACCGTACGCTGAATGAATTCGAGTGTCGAGGGCGTGCGTGGCGAGGGCTGGATCCTTCACACACACAGTTCTTGTCATGGTCTCACAACGAACATGGCACATACAACCTACTCGGCGGCGTCTATCTTCTAGGAGATAAAATTACAGGGACTCACTAGTTTCTCATGATACTCAAGCATGGCGCTTTCTTGATTTCCCGAGCGTGCAGCTGGTCGGGTAGTTCGTGAAGAATTGTAACCGGAGATGCAGGCTGAGAAGAACATCGCTGGTATTGGATGTGAATCAAGTTAGTCCATTCGCTTAGCATCAACGTAAAACGCAATGTCAACTTGAAGCTCAATATGTTATTATCTTCTCCTTTCTCAATAATTTTCATTCTCGTTCCGAGGGCCTCAGTCTGTACGGTACAGAAAATAGCGCATTCCGTTAATCAAATGCTCCCCTGAAGTTTTACTCATCGACCTCATTGTATCATAGGACGGTGACGTACATTTCACAGGGAAGAAAAATCACGTATCGATGTTCTTAAGCTCGTTGCAGCGGAGAGCGTGGGTAGGTGGTGGCTTGTACGGTTGTCTTCGCATCGCTGAAGACGGCCTCAATGGGTACCACACAGATGCAGCTCTTAACCTAGCGTATTGTCGTCGTCCTGCTCAAGCTATGACTTCGAGATACTGATACAGCCCTTGATGCATATTGTGCTTGGAAGATAATATTATTGTGGAAAACATCCATAAAACTAATCAGAGCTCATTGACCTTTTCGGTTGAGTGTGAACTGCATCCTCATTGAAGTCATTCATCTGAGCTTAAGCTTGTCGCGTTATTGCCTCAATCATAATCTTTTATCACTTATTCAATCCTCAATGTGCTCCTCTCTTTCATTGTTCATGAGTATCTGTGCATGTACCTAGTACAGTTTTAATAGCGCGTATGACTATAGTTGCTGAAGTCCGGTCCTGGTCCGGTCCGGGCATACTTCACCTGGACTCAGGACCGGACCAAATCTGCGGTCCGGGAGTGTCCCGGACTGGGGACCGGACCTATGTGGACGGGTAGTGGACCAGACCCAAGTTCCAGTCCGGTTCTGGACCGGTCCATAACCGGACCTGAGAGAAAAAAAATTTAAGAGATGAGTTAGAGTATTATTCTTTGTATCTAAGTACAAAAGTAATATATTTTTGTATATACTACATAATCTACAGACTAGACACTGTAGTGGTTTTCCTGACGCAATTCTGAGGATTCGGCGCGAGCCTCGCGACACGAGTCCTGAAGCTGGACTACAACTGCCTCTAAGCTGGTTACTGCGATTTACGGACACTTAGTTGTCGGAACATGAATATTTAGGTACTTAGCAGCAGACGGACCTGTCTCTTCGAGGGTGGCAATATAGTTGGCACGGCGTGCACGGAAAGCAGCCTGAGCGTCAGTGTTCTTCTTTCTGAGAGTGATTTCGGACATCTTGTCTAATTTGTCAGGGGCAGGGGCATTGGCTGGCTGCTTGACTGGGGAGGGCGGCTGGGACTGTGGTGTCTTTGGCAGTAGGACGGGAGAGGAGTGGAATATACATAAAGGGAATAAAGTATTTCGGGAGAC